TTTTTTTTTCTTCTCTCTCTCCTTTTTTTTTTTTTTTTTTTTCTTTCTCTTATTTTTTTCATCTTTTTTTTTTCTTTTTTTTTTTCTTTTTGTTTGTTTTGCTTTTTCCTGTTTTGTTCTTTTTTAGTCATTTCTTTTCAGTTTTCTTTTTTTCTTTTTGTTTTTTTTGCCTTTGTTTCCTCTTTTGCCGTTTTGTTGTCTTTTTCTTTTTTCCCCTGCAGTGTTTTTTTGGTGGTTGGGGCTGGGGCTGGGAACGGGAGTGGGTGTGAGAATCGGTTGGAGGAGAAGGCGGTGGGGGTGTTGGAGGGGGGTGATGGATTTTTTTGTCTGAGTAGGGGGGGTATGAATGAAGGGGGCGATGGATATGTGTGGGTTTGGTGGGTCGGTGATTTGATGGGGTGGTGAGAGTGGAGGGGGTATTGGTCGTGTGGAGGTTGGGAGCAGCAGTAGTTGTAGTAGTCGGTTTCTTTCTTGTCTGGTTATTGGCGAGTAAAATGAGTTTATGGCTTGACAGTCTTGGGCGTCTTGTCACCTGCCTGGCGAGGTGTGAGTTGAGTCTTGATTAGATATGTGTGTGTGTGTGTTGTGTGTGTTCATGCATGTCGGTCGTTGTGCGAGCCTACTAACAAAAAAGTCACGCCAGAGCTATGGTCGACAAAACCCACAAACCCCATAGTGTTACACTGATAGCTCCTCGCCAAACCCGGTCTATCCATCCCTATCCTTCCCAGCCTGCTCGACTTGCCCCTGTCATGTATCCCGACGATAATGTACATTCCAGCCCCAGTCCTCGTATCCCAAGGATATCTATGCACATGGAGCATAGTCGTTGAGTGAGTGGAGAGGTAGAAAAAGAGAGAGAGAGAGAGAACGGGTGTCTCCCCCCTTTTTCTCACTGTCTTCCCCCCTTTCCCCCCCACGCAACCCCATTCCTACCGCCTTCCCTTCTAGAGACCCAGCCAGAATCTACCGCTGCTGCATATCGGGCGTCATAGCGGCATTGAGCTCGGCGAAGCGCTCGCCTAGGCGGGTCTGGGTGGTCATGGACTTGGTGACGCAGCGGCTGATGCAGCCCGACTCGCGGCCCGAGAGGGCCTTGGAGGTGAAGTCGTCGACGCAGGCGCTGAAGCAGTTGTCGACTAGGCTGCCAAAGACCTGTTTTGTTTGGGTGGTGACGGGTTAGTTGGGTTCGGGTTTGGGGTTGGGGTTGGAGTTGGGGTCTGGAGGGAGGGGGAACGGTGGGTGGAGGGAGGGGGAACGGTGGGGGAAGGGGGCAGGGAGGGGGATGGAAGGGGTGACGATGAGGTGGAAGGGAGAGAGAGGGAGGACGTACGTTCATAAACTCCTTGACTTGGCGCTTCTGCAGGCGCTGTTCCAGCTCGCGCTGCTCGGATGCTGAGAGGCTGGCGTTTGACATGACATGTTAGCATTGGCAATGACTGTCGTGAGGTTTGGGGTGAGCGGCGCCTACCCTGTGTCCATAATGTTGGTTAAGTAGAAAGGTGTGAGCGGGTTGTTAGGTGGGCGATGTGTGGTTTCGGCAGAGGAATTCGTGATGGCTGTTCGGCTTTGACGATGATGGTTCCAAGTCCCAGTCGCTCACAGTTAGTTATCGCGATAACAAAATTCCTTTGGCTTGGCTTGCTCAGTAGTGGATGGATGGTCCGTGCACTACACAAGGCTTGGCTGAGCAACAACCAACTTGGCTCGCTTGGCACTCGCTGGATTTCTACATTGGTACAGTGGGGATCCAAAAGTATCCGGCCACCCCGCTTTCAATAAACGCGAAACGCGTCTCGCGGTTTCCTACCCTTAGCTTTGAACCACGACAATTCAACAAGATGAAGCTCAATTTGGCCGATTTTGCTGCTGAATTGACTGCCGGACGCGGGAGATTACAGGAGCTTTCTCCAGGCGCACGTGCAGCCATTTGCACACTTGTTGCGGCCCGGGCAGAGCGAACGCGCCGTTTCTCGCCTCTTTCGCGTATCCCGCGATACCGTCGCCCGCTGTGTTGAGCACTGGAAAACTCACCGAACGTTTGATTCGCGACCCCGGCAAGGGCCGGCCGCCGGTTCTAACTCGAAGGGAGAAACGGTATATCGTTTTACTTGTCAAAAAAAACCGAACCATTGCGAAAAAAAGCGCTTGTTAACGCAACTGGCAAGGTTGTCTCCTATTCTACCATCCGCCGCTGCCTCCGGTCACACCACATCCGCAAATGGAGAGCTATGAAGAGGATTCCTTTGACCAAAGAAGTGGCAAAGGATAGGTAGGATTTTGCATGCGATTGGCTTGAGAATATCGACGAGTTCCTTCAGGTTAGTGGTGTTGAACTTACCTCCTATTTCTTACCCCGCTAATCGTTTCAGACGATGTTCTCAGACTAGTGTTCCTGTCAGAATAACACTTTAAATTCGACTTGCTGGGTGTTCCGATTTCCGTCCGAGAAGTTCGATAAGCGTTTCGTCAACCTCCAGAACCATGTGAAAGCGAACATCTCGATCATGCTTTGGGGAAATGGTCTGGAAAGGGGAGGAGAAGTGACCTCATCGTGATGGAGCGCGACGAAGATGCCCCGAGGCGAGGATACACTGCGAGATCTTACCAGAAGACGCTCCAAGAAGGTCTCCTGCCTCATTACAACGATACCCGGCATTTCCAACAAGATAACGCAAAGATTCACGTCTGTAAGGCAACGGAGGAGTGGCTCCAGACGCGGGGGATTTCGTGGATCGAATGGCCTGCACACAGTCCGGATCTGAATCCGATTGAGCACGTTTGGGCAGCTCTGAAGAAAAACCTGCGAACGTTATTCCCAGAGCTATGGTCCCTGAAGCAGAACTGCGTATCACGGTCAGGATCACCGTGGTAGAGGCAAGCTGGTATATTGCGTGGTTGCACGAGGAACCGAATGTGGGAGGCGAGGCGCACTCAGGGAAAACCCTGTGGCTGCGCACAGACCAGCGCAGAGCTACGTACAGCCCACCTCGGGGTTCAGCCGTGCAACCCTGTCCCTACAAGGAACGGGCTGTGCCCGTGACACTGCGTAGATATAGCAAAGTTCAAAGAGTGCTTGCATACGGCGTGGGAGGCTATCCCACAGTCGTTCATCGACAAGCTGATCGAGGGAATGCCACGCCGGCTAGCCGCTGTCAAAAAAGCGAGGGGGTGGTATACAAAATATTAAAGTTTTTAAACAGGGCTCTTAACAACATCTATTGGTTATGCGTCATGATTTGGTGATGTTGAGATATTTGCTGTTAAAGCCTCCAAGATATAATGTAGGTGGCTGGGAAAAAGCGGGGTGGCCGGATACTTTTGGATCCCCACTGTAGGTAAATAAACTATACGAATATTCGTAGTTACATCCATACCTATCATCGCCAAGGCCCCATCAGCTCTCCATGTCCTCAAAAAAGTCCGTCAATCGAGGAAATGCACCGCCCTCCACAGCGTCAATCCATTGTTCTATCTCGACCAGATACCAGCCGCCGGCACAGCGGTCCACAGCGCCCAAGAAATCCAACTTCAAGGCCGCGGGCGCAACCTCCGTCTCCCACTGCGGCCAAAGTTGCTTCATCTTGCCAACATAGACTTTGCGCAGCTGCGTTTGTTGGAACTCAAACAATTCAATCCGGTCTAGTTTCGTCTTCTTCGCGTCGTCTTCGTCCGGATAATCTTTATTTGGTTCCTCTTCCTGCACATGCCCGAGCAGAAACTCGGGCATCTCAGTAGCCACCCAAAGGGGTTTGCACGAGACACACTCCCAATCAATCAGCGCCGTGATTTTGCCGTCGTCGTCAACGAGGATGTTTGACATGGAAAGGTTGTCGTGCCAAAGCACAGTTGGTTCAGCTGGATTCTGGAAAAGGGGGAAAAGCTTGGGGAGCAGCTTCGTCAACTTGTTGGCGACTTGCAGGCGATATTTGGCGTCCTCTCGGACTTCATCTTCTTCGTTTTCTTCGCCTCCCTCGTCATTCTCGTCTTTCCCGTCTTCTTGGTCTTCTTGGTCTTCTTGGTCTTCCTCGTCCTCTTCTTCCTCGAGCGCCTCCACTTGCTCTTGACGGATGATCTCCAGGCACGCGCTCAGCCAATCATGACTGGTTCGGAAAGGGCCACGGGCAATATCGTAGTCGAAATGCTCTCCCTAAAAGAACAAGGGAGCTACGATCCGGCTAGGCTTCGGGTCATTGGAAGGGCTGTGTTCGGACTCCGAGTTACTGGGAGAAAGTGTGCCGATGGTTTGAAATTTAGCGTCCTCTAGGCTGTGACGGAGAAGTTGGCTCTGAAACTCGGCGACCTGCTCGACAACCCAGTTCTTTTGGGCCATGGACATCTAATCCCATCGCTTGGAAGCATGGACACCGGGCATCAGCTCCATGAGGATCCACTCATATCCGATATCATTGTCCTGGCTGTCGTCGAAGGCGATAACCTTGGGGACGGGAACATGGGTCATGCGGCGGATCCAGCCCAAGGTCGTGACTTCACCCCGTGTTTTGTGTTTGGGGTCAACGGACAGCGACACGCGGAGCAAAAACTTGCCACGCGGGCACTCGCCCAGATAGTCTTTGCTGAAGGTGCATCGGCATGAAAAGTGACGGAGCAGCCATCTTCGGCGGAGAGATCCAGAGCTCTTCGACAGACTTGAGTAATGTCGTCGAGCTGGGGCTGCCCTGCCCATTGGGGTTCCAGCTCAAAAGAGCAGCCGCCCATGTCCGCCCACCTAAGTCCGTTACGTTGGCGATGCGGCATTTTGGCGATATGGCCCGATAATGTACTGCACTCTAGAGTATATAGCCAAAGAGAAAAAAAATCAAAGATACGTTGGTAACTTAGTACCGTTGTGGTTTGGGTGGCTCAATTCGACGCCTTCGGTGCCGTCGATAAAAGGTTGCCTGCCTCTTCGCTGAATAAAAGCGACTGTCGCGATCGCTCTTAACTTGAGAGCCCGGCTTTCTTTAGCCAGCAGGTGCCTCTCTACCGACGCAGCCTACCACTAACTATGGCTCATCTAGGGGCGGAAGACGAGCCTGACAGCTTCCTGCTTGGTTCATTGGCAGTGGAACTCGGGGGTCTCGGGGAATCCGCTCTGGTCTCTCGATTCGGCAGGCCAGTCATCTTCTCTGCCGTCGTTGGGCAGTTTGGAATGATAGCCCCTCGTAGTAGCGTAAAACCTGGTGGCTAGACGAATAGTGTTATCAAGAGCCTGGCACCTTACGTTCAATGTTTCTAGTCACGGAGAACCGGGTAGCTGGTAGTTAAGCTAGATAGAGCGTCAAGGCTGCGTATAGCTATGTACCTATATTACCAGGTACCTGGGATGGTGGCCCTAATAGAATGACCCTAGCCCCTGAGAGCAGAACACAATGAGATTGGTGCGAGTAACCAAAGTGTGGAACGAACCAACGACCCATCCGGGCCAACAAACATGTCTCAAAAAAGTCATCATGGCCCGCCTGGTTCCGATCTCCGTTGAACCCGGTGAGCCTCCAATTAGCCTGCTCCCGCCGAAACAATGCATCCGAGGCACACTAGCCCGATTCGCGGGCGGCAGTGTCTTGCCGAAGCGATGTAACCTCCCCCAGATCTTGAATTCGAGTGTAACCGGCTAAATACGGATCCGGTGGCGTTTCAAGAAGCTGGAAAGCCATCAACCTCCCCTTTCCTCGCCGGAGGCTTTTCGGCTGAGCTACCCTTCGAATACCATCTCAGCCCAGCAGACCGGCGACTGACGGCCAACATCGGCGACTACCCCTTTTTCAGCTGAGGGGAGACTTGCTCGGGCTCATTACGACCTGGGAGCCGCACTGCAGCAGACGGCCGGAGGGTTCATCTGGTCGCTCAACTGCACGGCCGGGGCGGAGAGAGGGGCTGAGGGGGGTTTTCCTCTCCCACTGCACAAGGATGGCTTCAAGAAAACGGGAGTCGGACGAGGAGGAGCAGACCTTCCTGCCCAAATCCGGGTCGAACGAAGATGTCGCGACCGGCTTCTCGACGGTATGCCTGAAATGCGACGCCAACAACCCTCGGAAGCGCGGCGTGGTATGGTACTTGAGGTTATTCTTGGAAATCACTATGGCGGGCACAATAGTTTATCTGCTGGTCGCCAAACCACTGGTCGTCTCACGCGAGACCCTACGGCGTACACCAGTACCGAGCTGTAGGTCGGCCATCATTGGGCGTCTCTGTGGCAGCTGCTAATCGCCGTCGTCTAGTCCCACGAAAGATCTACACCTTCCAAGACAACCCCAAATACCTTCGCGGTGATATGTGGTTCAACGAGACACTCACCCTCCACACGCTCCACAACTGGCTCGGGTTGAGCTCGGGTACGTAGCGCCCACTGTGGACACTGCCTTGCCTGTGGAAGACAGCAGCTAATGAGCAAGATAGAAAGCCGAGGCTATGTGGTTGTCGACGACGCCAGCCGCTACGACCTCCCGGAGCCGTACACGGTCGCGCTGGACCGGCACCACGACGGGCCGGGGTACATGATGACCGTGTTCCACCAGCTGCACTGTCTCTCCTACCTCGCCGAGCACTACCAGCAGGGGTTCGCCGGCGCCAACCTGACCGAAGAGGTGGCCCACCACACGAGCCACTGCTTCAACTACATCCGCCAGGGCATCATGTGCTCGGCCGACACCACCCTGGAGGGCAAGACGGACGCCGGGCCAGGCGAGGGCTCGGAGCACGAGTGCGTCGATTACGACGCCCTGCTGGATTGGGCCAACGCGAACTCGGCCATGAAATGGCGGACTGCTCTGCTTCCGGAGACGTCCATCCTCTGATGTGTATATTTATTCTAGGAAATATTTAGAAATGGTACCTATTCAAGGCCACTCCTGGGGGATGACATGCGTCTCGTCCTTTTTCCGGGAATAAGCGGACGGTAGGTAATTGGGCGATCGGGCAGTGAGTCAAAGGTGAGTGGGGGGGCGTACCACAGGGCAGAATCGTCCTCCCTGACCACCTCGACGAGCAAAGTATATCACCACGGGAAGCCCATCTCAGTCCAAACCTCAACACAACCCCTTTTACCCCTGGCAACCAACAACGAACAACCAACACGACCACAATGTCCCCGCCCCAGCCCTCTAAAGACCACCTCCCCGCCCTCGAGCACGACCCCTCCCTCGAAGCCTTCAACATCCCCGTCCGAGACTGGCTGGCCGCCAACCCCCTCCACCAACTAATCGTCTCGGCCGTCGTCTCGCTACCCTCATCCTTCCCGTCTGTCAACCAACAGCAGCACCACCACCACCACCACCCTCTCCCCCTCCTCAAAAAAAGAAAAACCAAACCCAAAAAGAAGAACGCACCCTCCCTCCTCCAAACGCGCCCCCCAACGACTGGGAACCCCCTCACCTTGGGAGCACCCCGGCGGGCGGCTGCCGAGCCCTCCGAAGACCATCCTGGCAGGCGGTGGCGCGCCGAGCTGGCCCGAAGGAGACGGGCTTGGTTGGCGGCGCGGGTGGTGCGGTTGGTGGAGGGGTTTGGATATTGCGGAGCCGAGTTTTGTTGCGTGTGCGTGTAGTGAAGTCGGATGTGGGGGGCTGGTGATGGGGGGGAGGGGAAGAAAATTGGGGGGGTGAGGCCGTGGTGGAGGTTGTTTTGTTTTTTGGTGGAGGTGGAGGTTGACTCGGAGGTTCAGGGGGGGTTGCCGGTGGTGAGGTTGGATCCGGAGGAGCATTGTGCTTTTGTGTGGGCGACCGAGGAGGATGTGAAAAGGGGGTGGTGTGGGGATGTGGAGATGCGGTGGGATGGGGAGGGGAATAGGAGGAGGGAGGTGATTTTGAAGGGGTTTGAGGTGTTGAGGGAAAGGAGGGCGTTGGAAAAGGGGAGCGGGGTTGCAGATGGGAGTGAGTGATGATGATGGTAGAGTGGAAAGGGTGGCGCGTGGTAAAGTCGGTGTCAAAATGTGAAGGTAGACGGTAAAAGCCCTTGAAGAGAGCCTGGATCGGGGATTGTTTCCCAATGTCAAAATATGTTGGTTGAGGACTAGTGTTGCACCTAAAGCAGTAATTCAAATTTATCCACCCATATTTTAACAAGCAGCCATTACATATCTATATACACAAAAGTCCTTCACAAATCAACGCTTCAATCCTAGCACGCCCCACCCCCCAAGGGACCCAACAGCTCGTCCTATACACAAGATCGACAAGATATATACAGAATCGCGCCATCCCTTCCCTTTAGTTGATAACCCGGGTGTACCGGTACGGCTTGGCCGTGAAGCCGCCGCTCTTCCAGCCGACGTTGCGCTTGTACTGGACGCAGCCGTAGGTGCCGCGGCACTCGAGCGTGTTGTAGGCCTTGTGGGCGCTGTCTGCCCACGAGAGGAAGAGCGTGACGTGGCCGGCGGCACCGGCGGTGCCCTCGCCCAGGGTGCCGACGAAGTCACCGGGCTTGAGGTCAGCCCACTTGATGGGCCTTGGCGATGGCCGGCAGGCTGACGGTGTTGTAGCCGGGGGCGTTGGCGTGCAGGGCCATGGACACGAAGCCCGAGCAGTCGGTGCGGTACTTGCGTCCCTGCTGGTCCGGGTACGTCTTGCTCATCGAGTACGGCACCTTTCGCGAGACCCAGTACCGGCCGCGCGAGATGATCTCGGTGCGGTTGATGGGGCCGTTGTACTGCGAGCCGCCGCCGCCGCCCGCGATCGGGCATTCCTTGGTGACCATGCTGTTGGAGCCCGTCTTGACGTAGTAGTCGGACACGTAGCAGCCGTCGCTGGTCTTGTCCCAGATGGCGTTGCCGTTGATGCTCTCGCCGTAGGTCTGGCAGGTGAGCTTGACGTCGGCGCCCTTCTTGTACGTCTTGACCGACTTGTAGCTGGTGTCGGGGCCGCTGCGGCAGTTGACGTCGTTGCCCGTGATAGGGTAGGCAGCGACCGTCGAGATGGCCGCGGCCAGGGTCAGGACCAGGCTGGTGAGCTGCATGATGGCGTCTAGAGAACAAGATTGTCTGGCGCAAGTCTTGGTCGTGGGTAGTTGGTGAAGGTGATGGTGAAGGTGAGGGATGGTGATGATAGCAAGAGAGTCTAGACTTCGGAGATCGATCCTGATGTCTTTATACTCGTGGCCGTGCGATCACCAACAGAAGCAAACGGCTTTCTATAACTCCATACCGCGAGTGGCTTACTCTCCGTGCTGTCCGCCTGCAACCTCACAATCTCCCCCATCCAGGTCCCATGATGTCTCCATGCGATGGAGATCTCGGCCCCACCGAAGCTTGACGATCGCCGAGGTAAAAAATCGAGGCAAGATTCATTGGGCCTTCCCACTTGGGAGGAGCACCTCGCCGCCAAGTCCTAAAAGTAGAGACGGCTGCATTCGGCCGCTTATTTTGGCCATCGCCCTGCTCCAGGGGCTGAAGGCCTAGACCTTTGGCCGCTCGGTGATCGAGAAGGTTAGGTTGCAATGCTCCAGGGCGGCATCTGTGTGTTGACAGCGCGGAATTGGTGCGTTCTCGAGCGCGAGGATGTAACCATTCCAAGCTGCCTCTGGGGGCGGCCCGAAATAGAAGTTGACAGTGTAAGACGGGCTAACTCGACCCTTTCTGACTGCCCGCTCCTCCTCCAACCCTGTTGCGTCTTGAGACAGGGGTCCTTCAGGCTCCTTCACAGCCCCAGACCCGCTCTAAAAACAAACCTCCTCATTCAATGCAAGATCTGCACCAAAATGTGTCGTTTCGTTGTTGAATTTGAGCTGGCCGAGGTAGTGGGCAATAAGTGGACAGCGACAAGATCTATCTTTATCAACACAGTGTTATTCAATCCACTGAGCTGGGGAATGATTAACTTTGATGAACTTGAAGAAATCACTCGAGTTTAGTCCGGTGTTTCCGGTCCCCAACCTGTTCCAGTACCTGAATAATACTCCGGTTCTCACCAAGCAGGGAAAAACAATTTCAAACCCTTTCCGCCCCAGCCCCTGTGTCTTCTTTGAGAATGGTGTTGTCTTTTAGAACAAAATAATTTGCAAAAACCAAGGGTTGGGAGAAGTGACGGATATATTCCCTGGAACCTAATGGGCATGGGTTGGATTAAACAAGAGAGCGTTGGATCAAAAGCCTAATTTTATCCTTGCGGCTGAGGTGAGAAAGACCTGTAGTTGGATGGTACACCGGCGATGCCCATATGACCGTGCACTTGGGCGATCATCCTATAGGTAGAAAAATGGTTATTATGCGGACTGCCATCCTTTCATTGGCCAACTTTCCACCGCCTACACCTTCTCGGGTTTGTAGCATATTCGAACGGAACCTTGATCCTGTATAGACGAGGCATCTTTAATGCTTCTTGTTAAAGAAGGTAAATTTGACAGGATTGACATAGTTGGGCTAACGGGAATCCTCGCCGCGCCTGTGAAACGCCTATGATGCCAGCGGATACATTGATCGGAAGTACCTAGTCTTGTCGTTCACTCGATCGGTTTTATCCATGAATAGACAGACAAAGTCTGCCTTTCAACCCGGCCGAGGTAGCAAATTTGTTGAACAGACCAACGGCTCCCGAGTAGTCGGTCGAGACGTAGCCAGAAAGTAATCAAGTCATACCTATCTTATTGGGATCTTCTGCCTTCGGATGCGTCTCCAATCGGGTGGCTGATTTTGATTTCATTCCTATCTCTAATGAAGCCAAGACGGGCTTAGGTGGGAGAATATCAATATCAACTCCAGGTAACCCGAATAGATATTGGAAAACGACTATGACGAGGGGCGGCGTTTTTCAACTCCCATGCTTGGCACCGCTGGCCCGGTCCTGGGGATAAGGGGGTCCTCACTCTACAAAGGAACGGCGATGCGTGTATATTCTCCGGGCTGCACCCCGCAATCTAACTGCGGCCTCCTCACACCAAGACAAGTTTAATAAGTTGATAAATTTCCGCCCATAATTTCCAGGGTCAACCCTTGTGCTCAGTTCCCAGGCAGCCGTTCCAATTACCCCGATTCGTGCGCATAGCTGTGTCCCCAAGCAAAGGTGTAACTCTAGGGACAAAAAACCAACAGTTCAAACCTGCTTGGGATAAAGTTCCACCCTGGTCATTCTACTCCCCTCGTCAAACCACGCAGAGTCCGGCATCGACTAATGTTTTCCGCCACTTACCAGAGGTTCGGCGACGTATCGACGGATGGCGTCGGTGACAAACGAGACGATGGCGGTGTTCGATAGGGCCGGCAGCATACCGGTCGCCAAGCACCTTTCGACCGAGGATGAACGAGTATCGGGGTATTATATATTGACCCCAAGAACCTCGCCATCCACCCATCTCTCCTCTTGATCAGTGCCCGCCCCACTGGACACCAACGACGTCAAGCCCTCAGACCTTGATAATCTCCAGACATGGCTCACCGCCGCCTTCTCGGGCCCCTGGCCTTACTCGCCGTCGCGCTTCTCCTAATCCTGCCCGCAGTCTCGGCAGCCTCGGCCGGGTGCGGCAAGTCCCCGGCCGTCACCGCCGGAAGCAAGACCATGACGGTCAACGGCAAGAACCGGCGCTGGATGATCCGACTGCCTCAGGGATACGACCAGAACCGCCCGTACAAGCTGATCTTCGGCCTCCACTGGCTCGACGCCGACTTCATGGCCGTCGACGGCGGCACGGCACCGTACTACGGCTTGCAGCGACTGGCCAACAACTCGGCCATCTTTGTGGCGCCAGACGGGCTCAACAAGGGCTGGGGCAACCAGGGTGGCGAGGACGTGACCTTCATCGACGAGATCTACAAGACGGTCAGCAACGGGCTCTGCATCGACGAGAAGCAGGTCTTCTCGACCGGCTTCAGCTACGGCGGCGCCATGTCGTACGCGCTGGCCTGCGCTCGGCCCAACATTTTCCGCGCCATCGGCGTGCTCTCGGGCGCGCAGCTGAGCGGTTGTGCCGGCGGCAACACGCCAGTGGTAAGCTTTTTCTTCACCCCCTTGTAGTCTACTCCCTCTTTAGAGCCCTCCCCTCCTAGACAGTAAAAACCCCAACTTCCAAGACTAACCCAACCCCAACCAGGCCTACTACGGCCAGCACGGCGTTCGCGACGGGGTGCTGCCCATTTCCATGGGCAGGCAGCTGCGCGACAACTTTGTGCGCGTCAACGGGTGCACGCAGGGCCAGCAGGCGGCGGAGCCCGCACGCAACAGCCGCCGGCACATCAAGACGGTCTACCAGGGCTGCGACCCCAAGTACCCCGTCGTCTTCACGGCCTTCGACGAGGACCACGTCGCCCTGCCGCAGGACTCGGGCGGCGATGGCGGGCCGAATAGCTGGACGGTTGCGGAACTGTGGGCGTTTTTCTCGCAGTTTTCTTCTTGAGTATGGGGGAAAAGCCCGGATAGATTTTTCATCTTTGATGAGAAGTTGAGGTTGAAGGGGGATCCTTGAGATTTTGCAATCTTTGTAACTTACTTATTGAAAATTTGAAATTCAAAGATTTTGTCCGCTCCTTTTAATGCTGGTGTGTGGAGGTGTTTTTTCTCTACACTGTCTATATGTGGCAAGCGCTTACACAGAGCCTGCCTTTTCCTGCAGCAAAAATGGATGGATGGAATTTATTTCGCCCGGAGGCACTGGGCCTATAGGGCCTTAGCACGCTAACTACATCCGGATCAAATCGTTTTGCCTTCAACTCGTACAAGCCCCCTACTTCTTCCCTCTTTCTCGCTGCACCATTTACCTTGCAGCAAAAATGATGAATGACGTGAGAACCATCACGTGACTACCTAGCTTGGAGTTCTTTTCAAGGACAATTTCCCCGCTGTGGAGCTTACTGGTTCCCCTCATCACAAAGCTTGGCGCAGATTTAAAGAACAAACACAACGGCCGCTACACTAAAAAGGATAGTGCAGTGATCCAAGATGTGAGAGCCATAACTCAGAAACTGCGATCTGCAGGGAAGATCCTATAATATACTCTCTTTAGGAGGGCCTGTGACCGGCTGGCCAAGGTTGAAACACGAGGCCAATGACGGAACCACACCACCTTTTTGGTGTTCTTCACTGCGGACCCGGATCACTGTCCGGAAATGTTCACTTGAGAGCTGCCCGATCGTCAGTTTACTACCACAGGAAAAGTATCAAATCAGGCCTGGGGCCATTGCCCACCGAGATCAAGTTGAACCATACCTGAATGTCCAACACAGTGCGCACACGTTGTGAACGGGTGCCTACCAGTTCAATCTTTCAAGCAGCGCTTTGGAGCGACTCTCGCTATTAGGCATACAATCTCGAGCCTCATCTTCTCCCCAATTATCCAAGACAGACGAGGCTGGCTGAATTTGGAGCTTTTTTCAAATTCACACCCCCATCCCCAAGCTTTCACACCAAGAAAACCATTCCTTCATCCCCTACAATGCAGGCTGCAAGGCCCTGAGTAATACTTGTGTTGAGTCCGTGTGAATATCAACCAACACGGTACTGTACCGCGAGGGCTCTTGAATACCCCTGTCGATGTTGCTCCAAGTTGCCCAGTCCTTTGAAAAGCGAGCCCGCTTTGCCGCTGTCCCTCCTCCCTGTCGTCACACGCTGGGCGAGCCTTCGTTTAATCAAAACTGCAATCGCCGAACACGACGCGGTTCCGTCAGAGAAACACCGACAAGATAGCTCTGTCCCAGAGTGTCAGGTTTACCCAGTCGACTCTCGACCGGAAACACACCTGCCAAACATCTCAGGCGGTTCCCGGGTTCCAGCGCCCGACTCCCCCGATCCCCGATCGACCAAGGCGCGCCCGCAGCCGAGAAACGGGTCCAGGCCAGGCGGTGCATCGCGTCGCAGAACGACAATCATCGCCCGCCTGCACACACAGCGCATATCTTTCAGGGGATCCCCACGTGCCTTTCCCCCTCTCGCATTCCATATTCGTCCATGCATCTCGATCCGACCTAGAATCTTCGAACCTGGCGACGAAGCACAGCAGCAGCAGCAGCAGCAGCAACAGACTGCCCAGCGCCCGGTGGCATTCGATCACCCGCCCACCGCCGCGCAGTCGCAACCATGACGTCCGGGGTCCAGCCATTAACACCCCAGCAGCCTGTCTCGCAACACCAGCAGCAGCAACAGCAACAGCAACAACAACAGCAGCAACATCGAGCGAACGTCCCGAACACCCCTAGCACCCCGGTTGCCCCCCCGATACAGTCCGCCATCTCCCCGCCCAACAAGCGCGATTTGAAATCATGGTGGAAAGGCTTCAAGCTTCCCTCGAAGCATCACGAGTCACATGGTACAGGCGCCCCGTCTATTATACTCTTCCCTCGATCACAGCCCCGAAGGAAAGCTACCATATTCGCCGAGGACATGGAAGGGGAACTCAACCACTTCCCATCCGCTGTCTCTCTGCTCCGGAACATCATATTTAGGGAAGAAGAGTGCGCCGTTCATCAAGCAAGTGCAAGCATGAGCCGGCCCCCGTCAAGAAGAGAATCACCCAGGGCGCCCAAGTTGGGTGCTCTCTCCCGTATCATGGCCTGGCGATTTGGAGGTTCCTCCCGTGCACTGCGGCGCAAGTCTCTTTCGATCAGACCTAACCTAATTGTTGCAGAGAATCGGGCCCACGGTATCTTTGGTGTTCCTCTACGCCAGAGCATCACCTACGCCAACGTCGCCATCTCCCTCGTCGACGAGGATGGGAAGAGCTACATTTACGGCTATGTTCCCATAGTCGTCGCGAAATGCGGCGTGTTCTTGAAAGAGAGGGGTTTGTACCTATGACCTGCTTCTATTTCCGCATTCCATCAGATGTATGCTAATCCCCTTTGCAGCCACCGAAATCGAGGGAATTTTTCGTCTGAACGGGTCTGAGAAGCGGATCAAAGAGCTCAAGACCATTTTCGACTCGCCAGACAGGTACGGAAAGGGGCTGGTTTGGGATGGCTACACAGTTCACGATGCCGCCAACGTCCTGCGCCGTTATCTCAACGACCTCCCCGAACCGGTCGTCCCTCTGGATCTCTACGAACAATTCCGGGAGCCGCTAAGCGGAGCGACGAAGCCAGGGGCTGGCGACCTCGAAGGGCCCCAGTTCGCCGAGCATTTCGACATGGACGCCGCTATCATCAGGTACCAGCAGCTTATCACCGAGTTACCGCCTCTGAACCGTCAGCTTCTGCTTTACATCCTCGACTTGCTCGCCGTATTTGCGGCCAAGTCAGACCAGAACCGCATGACGTCCCAGAACCTCGCCGCCATTTTCCAGCCCGGAATGCTCTCCCACCCTAACCACGCCATGGCGCCGGAGGAGTACCGGCTGAATCAATGTGTCATCATCTTCCTCATCGAGAACCAGGATCATTTTCTCATCGGGATGCAAGGCACAGCAGCAGATGAGAAAACTGTGGAAGAAGTGCAGAAAGGCACGCCGGTGCTCAAACCTCCGTCGACCCCCAATTCAAAGCCGGGCATCGTGCGGTCTACATCTAGTGCGAGCGCTGGGGCCGAGAGCGTTGCAAAGGACGGCTCGATCCGACGAAATAAGTCGACTTCGTCAAGACGGTCATTCCACTCCAACGGTTGCCCCAGCCCTGCTAGCCCGGCATTGACCGCCACCTCAACGGGCGGAGGTCTGGCTCGGAGTAATACCCTGCCCTCCAAGAAATCCCCAGCTCTACAAGCGGGGAGGTTTACCTCCCGGAATGACCATGTGGCCCCGATGACTCCCGTTGCACCGCCAGCGAGCACAGTGGTATCGCCGCCCGCCGCCGTGGAGGAAATCGCGACTCCCCCAGAGAGAGGCGGCACCACCCTTTTCGAGGTCGACCAGACCATCCAGCTCGCAGCCCGGTTTGACCATCCCTGGTGCCAGGAGCCGGGAGGGGCTCCTTGAGCCTCTTACCCCCGAGGCCACGACCCCGTCGAAGAAGCGGCCTATCCTGTTCCAGAGGATAGCGTCGAATGAGAGCGATGGACGCCAACCGAACAAACTGAGGAAGAAGAGGTTACCAGGCAGCGCGAACCCTAGCGCCCATAGCTCGACCGCTTCGCTACCTCACTCAACGAACGCAGTTTCTCCCAACACAGAGGCGGTGAGCCCTCTAGAGGCGATTCAATCTGTTCCCCAGACTGCAGGCGCCGGAGAGCCCGTGGAAACCCAACAGCCCGGGGCGTCCTCGGAACTGACACCAAAGCCTTCTCACGCTTTGCCTGCCAATGCAGAGAGTGATCATCCAGGACACACCGAACCGAGCAGCGCCGGTTTACACCCCGATCCTAACAGTACCGTTACGGGTAGTAACCAAACCGATACCCTGCATTCGGGTCATTCCCACGCCGACACCCTCCATCCCAGCAGCGCCCAACCGCTGAAATCCAGGAAATCCCCTCCAACGTCGCTACACAGCTCCTTCAACGAAGGATCGGACCTCGACCAGGTTGATGAGCTGGCGGCAGTTCCTGCCGAGATACCCATCCCCGACACACCTAGTGAGAAAGAGAAGAAGAAGCGATGGCGTCTATCGCGCAAGAAAGAGGATGCGTCACCGCCTTCTTTCCCCTCCTTCGCCTCCCCGCGCTCTGTACTGGGTTCGAATGCGACAGCCGGCGCCAGCGGCACGTCTATCAGCAGCGGCGGGAAGCTGGGGCAAAGCATGATGGACAAGAGCATGACGGATATGTCGGACCGCACCACCATCAACACGGAGGCACCGCTTGTCGAGGTGTCGAGCAAGGAGAGCAGGGACGAACCGCACAAGATCTCCAACTGGATCAAGAACAAGTACCGCGAGCACAAGGAGAACGTCGAGCAGCGGCGAAACAAGTCGCCGCCTGCCGGGGAACGGACCGTCTCGATTGGGTCTAGCTTGTTGCCGTCGCGGGGCAAGAGCCTAGACCTGAAGCGCGCCGAGGAGGAGAGGCCGGCCGCCCCGCAGCCTGTGAAAACCCCACCGCCCCAGTCTGCACCACTCCAGCCCTCGCAGCTCCAGAACGTGCTTCCCCAGGCTCAGCCACAAGCCCAGGCCCCCTTTCCGCCCCGGATTCAGTCCCTGGTTCAGCCCCAGACCCAGGCTTTGACCCAACCTCTCGTCCCAGCTCATGTTCAGTCTCAGGCTCAAGCTCCAGTTCAGGTTCCGATCCAACCTCAGGTCGCGCCCCAAAATGAATCTGGGGCCCACCCTGTGGTCGAAACTCAAACCCAACCCCCGGTTCAACCCCAGGTCCAGCCTCAGACTCAAGCTCACGTTGAACCCAAGGACCAGCCCAAGGATCAAACCACGGAACAACCCAAAGATCACCCTCCGCATCAACCTCATGTCCAACCCCAGACCCAAACCCAGACCCAGGCGCCGCCTCAGGCCCAAGAGCCAAAGGCGCAATGATAATCAACGCAGCCTTCGCATGCAAAGACGGCGCACCGCCAACGAGTTCGATGCCGTTACGACCATTGTTTTTCAGACCTGCATCTTCCTTTCACTTGAAGATTCTGGGGAGGGAGGAGATGTTGACACAAGAAGTAGAGATTTTGATGCCCCAAACAGCCCACCGGCCAACCAACCTTGCGGGGAGTGTGGTTTTGCTACCTGGGCGAGTGAGCGCGGATAAGAGAAGATGAGAGAAGATGGCTTTGCTCCCGATGTCCGGCTGATGCGGATACCCCCAGATTTTTTTTTACTTTTATTTTTTTTTATTTTTTTTTGCTGTTCTTGTTGGCTGTTTGTTGTTTATATGATTCGGGTGGGGCGGCGGCGGCAGGGGTAGGAGTGATCAAAAGATGATTCCCCATTGTTTGGTTGTGTCTTTTTGTTGTTGTTGGGGGGGGGGGGGTTCGAATGAATGGAGGTAACTACTGTTGTGTAGCGTTTTATAAGAGGGAGGCGCAGTTGCCTCGTCTTGGTGTTATTCTACTTGATTCATCTTCTGCTGGCTGAGCTTTGCTTTGCTTTTGAGCGCTGCTGTGTTTGATGTTTGCCCTGGACTCGACTTATAGAAGGCAAGGTAGGTACCTAATCCGGAACGCCGCAGTCCACCTCCCTGCGTACATCCATGCCTACCTAGTGTAGAAGTCTGCACTAATGATCTGTCTAAGAAATGCAAGGAATCGATCGACCAACCTTCCAAGCAAGCAAGAAGGGGGGGGTTCCGCATTCCCCGCGCTCCCCCCAGGAACGGGATAGGATTAGCGTCCCCCTCCCCAAGACCGCCGCAAGCCGTCCCCGTGGGACCGACCGGCCGGGATGGGACAACGTGGTGTGGTGTTGGGCTCGTCCACTTTGCCTGTTTCATCTTAGTCCCCGCCCTCCCAGTTCTTGGTTTCCGGTTTGTTTGGTGGTTGGTGGTTGGTTTGGTCCGGGTTTGGTCCGGGTTTGGTCCAGGCCAGCAGGTCTGGGGAAGTTCCCGCTGCGGCGGCAACGGTCGGTGTCGAGGCTGGCCCGTTCCCACTTCCCCGCAAAGACGGGTGCAGATTCCAGATCTGCTGTAATAAAATGGAGTTGGGTTTTGAGGGGTTGCTGAGCCGAGGCCTGGGTAGCGCTCCCCGCAGTTTGCAGCCTGGAGAAATCTGGGCTTGCCTTCCACCTGGGACACCGACAAAAGTATCCCTTAAAGGGGAGACTTTGAACTTGACAAGATATGTTTTCTCTGGAAGTTCGTTGCTGCCTGATGTAAAAGGCACGCTTGGTATTTCTCCCTCCCCCATTATTTTTTTCCGGCCCCGCTCCGGTAGTTGGACCGGCCCGAGTGTGCTTCAAAAGTTTCAAAGTTACCCGTGTAGTTCTATGACTGTTAAAGTTACCTAAAAGTTTATTCTCGAAACGCTTCGACGCCGCCATCTCATGTAGCTTGAACCGCCTTACTCACGCATAGCCGCATCAGCCCTGACCACCCTGACTAACTAGACGTGCCAAACCGTGGCAGACGCAAAGGGAATGCGAGGTTGCTGACCCGGACGCCACTCGCGAACATGGCCGAACTTCGGCCCTCGACTTTGCGCTTGGCGATCGGAGAAGTTACAGAAACGCACATTCCTTCGCCGAAGGCAGGCAATCCCGGCAATTCATGGCGGCCAAGCCCGGATCCACCGGCTCCAAATCCCACGTTCTCGAACTTGTTTTGTCCGCTCGTCCGGGTTATTCAGGTCCGGCCAAGCAACAAACACCGAGCTGTAACTAGTTACGCTATGGATTATCATTGGTGAAAGCGCAAATATGGTAAGCTGAGGGCCACGACAATCGGGAGATCGCCGTTCTTTTTCGAGCCCTGAAGTTCGACAAGATACTTCGTAAACTTATTATTTAGCCATCCCGGCCACTCACCGCGATGCGCCGGGGGATCGGCCGGTGGCGCTAGCCACCCGAAAGCTAAAGTCCGAGTCGCGAGCTTAGCAAGCTAGCGGGTATAAGTTAACTAGTTGGTTAATGACCGCCTTGCCACCCGACACACGTCAGTAGCTGGCCGTCCCAAGTGCCGTGTAACAGCAAACCGTGGACGACACAATGGCGGCATGGACTTGTGCTCCTTCAACCGGTAGGGATGACTCAGGACGGACAGCCATCCACTCGGTGCTGTGGTCTCTTGTACGAAGGAGTCTCCATATCCCCCGCGCAGCATGGGTCTAGGATGGTGCGTCCCCGGCGCCTGGCCCTCAGGTCCCCAGGTCCCCTGGTCCCTTAACCTTAATCTGGAAGGTGGTTGACGGACGGCCCCGATCGCGGGCCCTGGTGGCATTCGAAATGCGGAGGCAACGCTGATCAGTAACTGACCTGTCGCGCAATGCAGTCAGTCACGGCGTTACCATCGTCAAAATGCATAAAATCCGCATGGCGTGCCACCGTCGCGTTGCCGATCTTCGCTCTCTCCTCTCTCCCTTCTGCTCGCCCTCCCGCTTCCGCCCGTTTCCATACCTGGGTCCCACGTTTTTGATACCCACCGGGAAGGTCATAGCAGCCTTTAGATTGAGCTCTGCCGGACCGTAGAACATTGGAGATACATAGCAGTCATGTCGGAACTCAAGCAACGTATGGTCATCCATCTCCTGTCGCGCCGGGTACATACCATGCCCCTCGCCGTCCTCCCCTCCACCTCCAAGCCAGCTCCATTTCTCGTTTCATCACGATCACACCCATCTCTACCTGCAGCTGACATCCCCATAGCATCAGACGAGGAGGATGGCAAGCGGCAGATGGCCGAGGCCGCACCGCCCTACGATTCGGGCTCGACCTCGGCCGAGGACGTGGTCTGCCCGCCGCACACCACGGAGCGCAGGATCACGACGCGGATCGACTCGTACATCATCCCGTTCGTGTCGGTCCTCTACCTCATGGCCTTCCTCGACCGCGTCAACATCGGCAACGCGCGCGCCTTCGGGCTCGAGGACGACCTGCACATGGGCGGCGTCGAGTACAACACGGCCCTCACCATCTTCTTCGTGCCCTACATCATCTGCGAGATCCCCTCCAACATCCTGATCAAGTACCTGTCGCCCCGCGTCTGGCTGTCCATTTGCTGCATCGGCTTCGGCGCCGTCACCGTCTTCCAGGGGCTGGTCCAGAACTACGGCGGCCTGCTCACCACCCGCTTCTTCTTGGGCCTGTTCGAGTGCGTCATGTTCCCCGCCTGCTTCTACCTGCTCGGCAGCTGGTACCGCCGCGCCGAGGCCCAGAAGCGCTTTTCTCTCTTCTTCTCGTCGACCTCGCTGGCGGGCGCGTTTGGCGGGCTGCTGGCGTCGGGCATCGGGAAGATGGACTATGTCCGCGGCTACCGCGGCTGGCGCTGGATCTTTATCCTCGAGGGCACCTTCACCGTGCTACTCGGTATCTTCTTTCTGTTCACCTTCCCGTCGTTCCCGGAACAGGCGGTACGTCCAAGACATCCTTTTTTCCTTCTTCTAGTTTGGATGAGGAAGTATGTATGTACGGGAGGGCTGACTGACAGCAACCACAGAAATGGCTGCGGGACGACGAGCGCGAGTACGTCAAGGCGCGGCTGCGGGCGTCGCAGGGCGCGAGCGGCGCGGAGCGCAAGATCAAGCTCAAGGACGTGGTGACCGTCATGTCCGACTACAAGATCTGGCTCGGCGGCTTCATGTACTTTGGCCTCATCGTGCCGGCCTACTCGTACGCCTACTTCGCGCCCACCATCATCCAGAGCTACAAGTACGACCCCATCACCACCCAGCTGCGGTCTGTTCCGCCGTGGGTTGTTTCGTTTGGGTTTTCTATGGTGGTGGCTGTGTTCTCGGACTGGGCCAAGCACCGGTTTTTGTTTATCATTGGGGCTATCTGCATTTCTATCTCGGGGTTTGCGATCCTGCTCACGGTGCATGATAACTTGCAGGTGCAGTATGCTGCGCTGTTTTTGACGTGTATGGGCACCTACTCGGCCATGCCGGTTATTGTGTGCTGGTTCAACATGAACCTGGCGGGGCACCATCGGAGGGCCATCGGGAGTGCCTGGCAGATTGGTGAGTTCTTTTTTTTTTCGTGTTTTTATCAGGTTACGAGATGCTGACCAAGACAGGCTTCGGCAACATTGGTGGCATCATCTCGACATACTCGTTCGTCAAGGAAGATGGGCCGCTATTCACCAAGGGCTATGCCATTTGCGTGTCTTTCATCTGCCTGAGTGTGGTGTCGTGCATCCTGTATGCGGGGGCCATCACTTGGGAGAACAGGAAGCGGAGCAAGCAGGTGCATGATTTGAACTTGACCGAGTCGGAGAAACTGGATCTGGGGGTAAGTTTGCCGGATTGGATCTCGTGGGCGTCGCTAACCATATGCAGGATTTGAACCCCGAGTTTAGGTACATGCTTTAACATTATGAGAGACGATATACGACAATGATGAGGGGGAGAGACCGTAGACCGGTTCTTGAAGAATAATGTGGCCTGTGCCAGGTCGAGAATAAACATAATTCAACCTATGCCCGAACGCTGCCATAGTGTACATCCCGAGATGGTTGGCGCTATATGTATTAGGTCCGTGTGCCTGATTTCCAACGAGGACCACCAACCACCTGACAGGTGGCCCAGTGGTTACTGGCGGTGGTCCTCTAAATCCCGAGTAGTAGTTCGCCTCCTCCATATCCAAAGGTTGCAGGTTCGAGCCCTCGGGGTTTCGGTGCAAATCCCTAACTAGGGATTTCGTAACCGGACCACCCTCCCTCTCCCAGGCAGCTGACTTATCGCACCTAACTGGTATCCAATGAGAGGGGGGCTGGCCGGTGAGCTTTTGCTATTTTTTTTCGGTCGACTCCGTCCGGTTGGCTAAGGCAACTCCTTGTGAATAAAATCTACCGGATCGAAGGGTGTCGCGTCCGGTATCGTCCCATCCGTAGCCCCCAACTCAGCGATGAGTCTCTGAATCTCTTCGATCTCCTTATCCACCTCGGGTTTCCCCACACTCCTGAGCATCTTGATATTCTCCTCCATCATGTATCTCTCGTCCTCGGTCAGCGGTCTCGCCCACTCACGCTCCAACGCTTTCAGCGCCGCTGGCTCCTTTTCCCACCCGCCCCCTGCTATCCTCTCATTCGCATACACCACCTTCATGCCCCTTCTGAGCACAACCACCCTGTCCACCCGGCCTTTGTTGTCGTTTGATATCGATGCGCCCTCGCCATCCAGCCATTCTACGGCACCGCGCACCCCCTCCAAGCTCTCATCGTGCACTATTCTCGGGGTGAGCCTCAATGGCATCGGTCCTCCATAACCACTCGGTTTATCATCCGCTTTGCCTTTCCCTCCCTGCTCTCCCCCTTGTCCCTCTACCTCCTTTTCAACATCTTTCTTCCCTTCAGCCCCCTTCCCCCCATCACCACGCCTGGCGCGAGAAGGTGTTCACAGAGGAAGCAGGGGAAAGGAATCTGAGAAAATGAAAAATACGTATCCTCTTGTGATTAAGGGAGATTGCTAACTAGAAGCTACTCGCGATTTATAACAGAAGGTCCCATGGGAAAGTTTTATGGAGCGAGCCTGCTCTGATGCTAGCGTCGATGGTGAAGGCATTCTATTTATATAGTTCTGCATTACTTCACAGCAAGAAGTCTAGATTTTCCAAAGTCGGCTTAAGTGAGTAGCACTTCCTCCTAGCTGGGGTGGAGATCCGCGCCTTCCATTCATCGCGCCGCGTATTCGATATGAAACTCTTAGTTTCGCCGGGACTATGAATTTTGGATTCTAGGGAGTCATGGTCACCTAGAACCGCTTCAGGTAGGATGGTTGGGAACGGGGGGGGAGTAGGGCTGGGAAAAGGCGGCGGCGAGGAGGGGCGCGAGGTGGGTTTTGCTCGGCGCCGGTTTGGCCGAGGAGGAGGACTGCTAGGGGCTGGCGGTTGGGGGTGTTCTTGTCCTGGCCCTTGTCGTTATCCTTGGCTGGGAGAAAGGGGTGGAGGACGGTGGGCAGGATGCGGGTGTGGAGGATGTGGTCGTGCGTTTCGGGGCTGATTTTCCAGCTTTCGAGGAGACGGGCGATTTCTTCGGGGGAGTGGGTGGTCTCATTGGTGGTTGGCGGCTCAGAGGAGGTTCTTGCTTTGGGGGGATTGGTGTTCGGGGAGGTTTCGGTAGGGTCCATGGTTGTAGAGGTAGCAGAATCGGTTGGAGGTGGAAAGGAGGTTGTTGATATGTCGTCGTAGAGGCGGGGAGGTGTGAGGGGTGAGTGCGTAGTCTGGTTTGTAGATGGACTCCTCCTCAAAGGGTCCGGTCAATGCTGGTCTCTCTACGGGGTACTGAAGAACGAGTTTAGTCTTCTCCCCGCAGATACTAATCAGCGTCGACGAGTTTGTTTGTCGTAAGGGAAATCAGACGTAGCAAGCACAGTGAGCGGATTCTCACCAGAAGAGAACATCAGCCCACATGAGCTGAGGTTACACTCGGCCCCAGATCTACATAAAGTGCAGACCATGTATGTATGAGACAGATCCACACACGGCATCGCTCCCGCCCGTGGGGGGGCCATGGCTTCCCCGCAGCCAACCGAGCGGGTCGAAGGCGGTTTCCGCCCCGTGCCGAATCCCGAGGCCGCCCGTAGTTTATAGTATGTAGTCTGCTACAGGTATAGAGACCGAGGCATCTCAAACCCAAAGCAAGGGGAAGGACACCGTCGAATATGGGAAGTGTTGACACCAGGAGCTGGGTGGTCAAGGCAACTTGCTTCTGAGCTCAGTAGCAGAGCACTTATCACCCTTCAACCGAAGCAGCCTCACCCAGAAAAATAAGACAACCAAGACGACACGGGACCGGTATGAGTATCAAGTTTTTATTCGCGCCCAACTATAACATTCTTTCTGACTTGGCCAAATTCCCGCAATCCCGACCAACTCCTCCCATTCCCATTCCGCTGTAGGGTTCGTCACCAGGGGACCCGGTTCCCCAACATAGCCAAGCCAACGCCTATGAAGAAGGGCGAAACTGATATTCAGCACCGAAATCCAAAATATACTCGTAATAATAATAATAATAATGACCACCGTGTAAAAGAACCGTGGCCCCAAACGCCAAAACCCGCCAGTGCTGTGTGGGTGCGAAATCGAGCCCGACTAGCCAACCCCATGCCAGTTCTGTCAGCCAGAATAGTGCCGCTCAAATCGATATGAAAACGCCCGTCCCGAATGCATAATGCCCCATCAACGTAAGTCGCACAAAAAACAAGTTCCCTCTGTGGCCAAACAACCGGTCCAGACGCCAAAGGGTCGAAATGCCAGCCGTGGGGCGTGAGTTCCTAGTAGTAATAACGAGCCCGGATATCTTCGCCTTCATTAATCATCAAAGCATGTACCGTCAGGTCGGTACACTGCGCGGCGTGACGTCGCCGCTTCGCCGCCGAACGACAACCTGCTGCTGCTGCTGTTGCTGCTGCGCTTTGGAGGCCGCAGCAATGGTGTGCATCCGCTTCCGCAGGTAGGTGAGTCTGGTGTTGATCATTTGCACCACTGCCAACAAGTTAGTAAGGGGTACCCACGCACAAGGATAATGGCGGCTTACTCTTCTGCACTGCCTGCTTGTCGTCGCTGCTCATGTCGTCGGATGCGTCTTGAGCAGCGACGGATTGCTCCTCCTTGGACGACGTCGACACGCGGCGTTTCGGCAGGTGGTCATCGTCACTGTCCAACACCGCCTCGAGCATGCGGACCGCCGTGACGTACGATATCTCGCAGCCGGGGAGGTCTTCGCTCGCAATCTCGTTGATGGCGGCCGTGCGGCTCATCTCGACGGCCCGGTCGTACATCAGCTTCTCGGCGCTTATGCCGACCGAGGGAAACGTGGCCTGGCCGCCCGAGCTGCCGCCCAGCGCGCTCGTTTCGGGCGGCCGGTTACTCGGGTGGCTGGGGTGCTCCTCGGGCAGCTGGTTTTGCGCCTCGACCAGTCGTAGCCGGACAATCTCGGCCTTCTCCAGCACCTCGTTGAAGCGTGACCGGATCCACTGGACCGCCGCATTAATCTTGAGCACCAGCGCCTGCGTGTTCACCGAGTCCCTGGTGGCCGAGTGCACGTTGTTGCTCGATTCGGGCCGGCTCTTGCGCGACCACCAGAGGCTGGCGATATCCATCGACTTGGCGAGCAGGGACAGCGCCTTGACGTAGAGCACCAGGGCCTCTTCCGACAGCGAAACCACCGCATCCATCGTGAGGCCCTCCTCTTCCTCGCCCATCCTGTCGGTGGGAACACCACCCAGGCCGTGTTCGACGGACGGGGCCAGCGGGACGAGTTGCTTGTACTTGACTTCGGCGAAGCCGTAAACAACGTCGCTCCGCGTAGCGTAATCCTCGATGCACTGAGCCACCCGCGAGTCTTCGTCCACAGGAGCACTCTGCTTCCCGTCCATGATCAGGCCAGCCGGTGTAGATGGTGTCGGGTACGCCGGAAACGGGCTGTAGATCTGCGGCGGCGACTGTCCCTTGCTCAGCATCTGCGGCGAATACTTGAAGCCGAATAGCCGGAGACTGGCATCCTGGATAGCCTTGGAAATCACCGACGTCGTGGCTCCTGGGCTGCCCGAGAGCGTCTTATCATGAGACGCCTTCCGGTAGTGGTCATTCCGGCCCCCCTGTGCATTCCTGCCGGGGTGGCTCGGTACGGCGCCCGTGGTCGACGTTGGATGTCCCTGCTGCGTAGCGCGCCTCACGATCTGGCCGCCGGACTTAGGCTGGCCTTGCTGTGGATACAGTGAGATCTGATCCGCAAGCGCGTTGACCTCGACAGCGGTCTTGTCGATGATGATGTAGTCCCGCTCGAACGCAACGTCCTGCGCTGCTTTGTCCTCGTCTGTAAGGGGCCGGCTCACGGCGCTTTTTGGCCTCGAGCGGTTTGAACCCTCGTGTGGCGGCGGCGGCGTGTCGCGGGCGGGCACCTTTGTCGAGGCGTTCGAATACCGGCGGCTACGGTCAACATACGAGATGGGCCGGACGGGCGCCGAAGTCGACGGCTGTGCTAGAGGTCGCCGTATCCCGAGGCCCTCATCTGCTTCCTGTCGCGGCGAGTAGCTCAGCCGAGGGCTGGCTACTTGTTCTAGCGGATTTGGCTTGGGCTCGATGGGCGTTGCCAGAAGGTGAGGACCGGCGCGGCTTCGGCGAGTGTGGGACAACTCCGGGTTCGCGCGGCGAATCCGGCTCTGCGGCATAACGCCGTAGAGATGGCCTCCTCGACATCAATGAAGTCTCGCCGATTCCTGTCGAAACCTTGGTTTCGGCCAAAACCGGCTTCTCGGGCTTCGGAATATCGTCTTCCACGAGGCCTGGAATCGGGCCAGTAATGACGGGATGGTGGAAGAAGTCTTCGAAACTTATCCGTTCTACTGGGTTACGTTTCAGAAGGGCCCGGACCAGGCCCTTCACTTCGGAGCTGACGACGCACTCTCTTGAAAAGCGGATAACGTCCCCCGACGCCTCGATCTTCCTGAGAAGGTCCACGTGGTTGACTGCTCGGAACGGGGGTCTCCCCGTAGCCATTTCATACAATACGGTACCTACCGACCACAAATCGGCCTTGGCATCGTACTTCTCGTAGCGAAGAATCTCTGGGGCCATGTATAATGGCGAACCGCAGAGGGTCTCGGCGAGCGAGGTCGAAGGGAGCACACGGGCAAAGCCGAAGTCGGCCAGTTTCAGCATGGGCAGCGAAGGTAACCCGGCGGCAGGCGTGAATGAGTCATGACTGGCGCTGAGAATCTGCTTGTGCATCTTATTGGCTTCGCGATATTGCGGTGAAGGAAGCAGCAGCAGATTTTGGGGTTTGACATCGCGGTGGATGAGGTTCGCCTCTCGCAGGAATCTGATGGCACTGGTAAGCTGCTTCAGAAAGTGGCGTATGACGACCTCGTTCAAGCCCGAGTTGGGGGCGACGGGGTATTTTCGGGCGAGTTCATGCGTGCCCGGGTTGGTGATGAGCTTGTCCCTCTTTTTGATGAATAGCGACAGATCCCCCAGTTCGCAGTACTCCATAATCAGGTTGATATGCGTCCTCGACTCAACGCAGTCATGGAGGGCAACGATGTGCGGGTGCCGGAGCCGCTTGAGAATCTCGATCTCGCCATAAAGGTTGTCTTTTAGCTTTGTGTTGAGACGGGCGAGCTCGACAGACTTGATAGCAACCAGTGCACCGGTAACCTTGTAACGACATGTTAGCGAATTTTCGATACGCCCAACCGCGACCCGGAGTGAGGCTAACCTTGTGGCGACCAGAGTACACCTGGGCAAAACTCCCCTTTCCTATCTCCTTATCGATGACGAAATTCCCGATGGTGTCATCGCTGGCTGGCTTTGACCGCCTCGACGAAGAGGTCCGTTCAGACATGGCTCCCTGTGAGAGTTGGCGATAGCAGGAAGCGCAGCGGGGGGAAGAAGACTAGCCCGAGGGCCTAGAATATGCGAAAGACGTCGGCGGCCGGTCTGACCGTCATGTATACGTCAAGCTGAGAACTGGTGAGGCACAACGGGCTTGTGATAAGAGGTCGAGAACAAGGAGGTGGTGGCAGGCTCGAAATGCGGGCCCTCGAGTCGTCGGGCGCAGGGAGGGGGGGCGTATGCTGCCTGTGCCGGCCAGCGGGAGGGAGGCGGCAGTATCCGATAGGCCGGAAGGGAGGATGGAAAACAGGGTTGGAGCTTTTGGCGATTATCGTTATGGACGATGCAGGACGAGTTCGAGGCCAAGGCTAATTTGTGTGTAGGTCAACGGGAGTGGTGGGTGGTGATTTTGGTGATAGCGGAGGTGGAGGGAGGCCTTGCGAGCTCGAGGCGCTGCTATGCGCAGTGACGCCGCATACGCCGTGGTGTGTGTGGATAACTTGTTGAAAGTAGCTAGGACGGGGAGTTTCGAGCTTCGGCGGCAGATAGGAACAACTAGCACGGCAAAAAAAACAGCGGGAAGCCCGTGTTTTTGTTGTTGTTTTTTGTTTGGGGCAGGATTTGTTTTGCGGAAGAGAGAGAGATAGAAGCTCAGACAGATGGCCGATGTGTGCCTGGACCACGCAAGTTACGGAAGCTATCGAGGAAAGGCGGGCAGCTCCACACGGCACTGTGACGTCCAAAGTCAACTGAATGACTCAGACTCGATTGGTGCGGAGGAGATGACTCGAACCCAAAGGGTTTCCAACCAAACGAAAACCGCAAGGGAGAAAGAGTGAAGAGGATAATGAGGATGCAGAAGGCGATGGGATGCGACGTGTGGAGGTTGAGATGGAAAAGAGAAAGGAAGAAATGGAAGGGACCTGGGAGGAACCTGGGGCAGCCAGAGTTGACGACGATAGGCCTATGCCTGTTGCCGGGTGGCCGCTGTGCACACTGCAAAACAAGGGGCGTGGGGAGTATAGGCACGGGAGCTGCTTGTGCTGATGAGCCCGCAAAGCAACGCACGGGACCGGAGGCGCTGGCCCTTCACTGGCCAGGCGCGCTGAGAGCATGTGCGAACGCTGTCGCAAACACGGTGCTCGTGATGCAAGACTCCGCCAGCCAAGCAGACACACTTTAAACTGTGGTACCTCCCGGGTACTGTTGCCCCTGTTCCCTCGCACCGACTCAGCATTCTGCAGCCCAGTGAGACAAAGGAGTACAAGGTACCGTTACGTATGCCACCGGGCTTGTGTTCTGAGACGCGCTAAAACGGCATTTGCGATAAGACTCCGCGATAGCACCACTTCGACTGGCACAGCGGACGCGTTGAGTCTCCATCATTTGCGACTCCTCTTGCGTCTTCGGAGGCGATGCTGAGATAAGCATCGCCTGTGATCCATGACATGTCGATGCCATCACGGCACGAAAAATCGACGAGGGAGGGCGAGACTCACCGACAGCGCACCTCATGACCCGGTTTCTTCCGCAATCCGAAGTCTCTCTGCTCTGATGACGGCGGTGATTGCCTCTCAACGTCAGCCAGCCATCCAGCCGTCAGGGTATCCTGGATGATGCCAGACCGCGGATGGGCAAGCAGGGGATCCATCCGCCGGGACGTCAAGGGTTCAGTTCCGTGATCACTGGGTGGCTTGCCCCACACGACCGACAGTGTCAACCATCTCGAGTTCGAGTTGGGCACTGTGACACAGAGATGCACCAGCGACCAAAAAAGGTAAACTAGTCCAGACAAGAAACTGAGCAATGGATTATCTCAGCCTGTTTGCAGCGAAATAGGGGCTCCCGGGTAACACAAAGAATGGTTGCTTTTGTGGGCCAAAAGAAGCGGGAGTTGGCTCAACGAGTCAACCAAGAGAGCATCAGCATCCATGGGATCTGGTCAGGTGAGCCAAGGCGAACCACGCCGTCACTGCGGCTGGTAGGTCACTGCTGGTCTCAGGAACAAGCTGCAACACGGCCGGGCCCACACAGTTTCCGGTTTTTGTGAATGAATGGTTCCCATCTAAGCAGGAACAGCGTTCCCGGGTTCCCAGCGTTTGTTTTCTGTTTTTGTTACGGAGAGGGAAGGCAGAGACGCAGACAAGCAGACTAGGGAGTGCGGCCAGCCGGATCTCGCTCGGTCCTTGCATTGATAGCGAGGATGCTCACTCCCGGTGTTAGGCCGACCTAGGGATGGATCCCCTTTGCCTTATCGGCTGATCTGCCTGTCTGCCTGGTTGTCGCCGCCTATCACTGGCGCTTTTTAGCAGTTCCGAATAGCAGTTCCTGGCTTGTTGTTCCAACATGTCAATGCATGCAAAAAGGCGGCCAGGCAGACTTGACATGCAAGCCTCAATGTAGCCATCGAGTTGTGGGATTTCTTTCGCTCAATTCCAGGTCCACGTTCACCCACACAAACCCCTACTAACTGCCCAGGTACACTTTCACGTTACTCAAACGGCGTCCTATCCTGGCGGTCAATTCGATGCACATCTCAGATCCAGCGCCAAGCACCAACCAAACCCGCCGCCCCGACAAGGACCCGATCCCATCATTCCGGGGAAACCCTCCTGGTTGTCTGGGGCCTGGAACCGAGCTGCGGGACGATGCTTGCAAGAAGCTGCCACGTCGAAACATGGGCCTTCTAGCGTGCCTTTCGTTGCTGGATAGCCAGAAGCACTGTGGTCACCAGACTCATCGACGGGATAACTATCGAAACCCACATCTGTCTTTGTCCGAACGCTGGCGGGCTGCACAAGGCGGCCATGGCGTTCTCCAAAGAGCCAAAAGTGGTGTCATAGGTCTTCGGATTGCCGTCCAGGCAGTTTGGCTGTCTGCTTGGCTCACTTGTCCCCGCGCTGGTTCCCACGCCCTTTGGGTCAAGGAAAGCAAGCAGGAGGCAGGGCAGCCTTGCTCGTATCACTTTACCAACGGAATGTCCCAAAAAGGAAGGGGGTGACAAACAGGTCAGCCACTCACACCGAGTCCCCCGCGGTGACACGGCAGCGTAGACCCCGTTGCCAAGGGCCGGGAGAGGGCACCGAGGGCAGGAAAACGAGACCGCCACGTCCCGGGCGCGTTATGTGTGTGAGGGAGAGTATGTGCACACCATCCACACCATCCGCTGCCGCGCAAGGCACCACTTACCATCGGCCGCAGTCCATTGGGACATATCAGTGGACAATTGGCTTCTCAACCGGCAAAAGGGACGATAGACAGCTGCCTGTGGTCATCTGCCCTCGAGCACACCAGCACACCTCGCGGCATGTCACACAGCATGTCAGCGCGCATCACAGATCGGAAGCAAGATGTGTCACGGTGTTATTCGAAATCCAGGGTCCAGTCCCTCGATTCATAGGCCTCGAATCCCAATCTCGCACATCTCGAGGTTGTTCACTCGCCCCACTGAGAAATGTATCAAGACACCCAGTTGGCTGAACTCTCATTGCAACCTCTGACGGAGTCGTCCCCGTCCAATCCACTCACCACGCCCCACCCAACCTTCATCAACGAGACAAACGATATGTACACTTCTGTTGTCCATGCGTCTGCTGTTACAGGTTAAGCCACGTGGGGTTTTCTCCAGTCGGGAGACCGGCCGGCAGCATTTAGCCACCACCCCGGAACCGTTCTCCACGGACGGCGGATGTGTGTGAAAACTGACAGGCAGCCTGGAAGGCAACCATCGCCGAGAGGGGAAACGACAGGAAAAGAAAAGGCGAGTTCTGCGCACATATTGGACAATGGTTCGCCCGTTGTTGACGGATCCCAGATCCCACGCTGTGTGTTGTCTGTCTGCCTGCCTGCCCACCACACCTCACAAACCCCCCTTTTCCCATCCTCTCTACTGTGACTTACACGAGCCGTTACCGGACAGACCTGCCAATTCGGGGTCAGATATGCACCTTGATAACTCAAAATCCCACCGTGTAAACCGTTTCCCGCGCACACCCAAGGATTGATTGATCAACCATTTTCCTTTGCCTTGCCTGCCTCGCCTGCCTCCCACTCTGCTTCCGCTTGCAACCCCTATCCTATCTATCCCTCACCGTCACAATCAACCCCGATAACCCAACCTCCATCCACCCTCTACCCGACCATCCATAACCCCTCATACAAAACTACTCACTAGCCGACCAACCCACCGCTATCAAGTAACGGCTATCAAGCAACAACTACCAAGCCAGGTAGGGTCTTCCCGGGTGTGCGCGCACAGCGGCGGCGGCTGCAGCTGCGGCGGCGCAGCACACCAACACCACCCCGGCCCGCTCGCCTGTCTGCCTGCCTGCTTGCCTGCATCATATCATCCCGACCCGCCTGTGATGACGGCTGCGTGTTCCGCCGAATTGGGTGACGGCTGCACATGTATGTATGATATATGGGTATATATATGTATGTATGGAGTGTGGTTCATAATGGCTGGCCAGCACGCACGCAAAAGCACGTCACATGCGAGGCCGTGTCGCGCTGCGTCGCGTTGTGTCGCCTTGCCTGTCTGCTCGCCTTGCCTTGCCTTGCTGCTGGTGTGGGTGGTTGAGGACGGACGTTCCGGCTTCGCAGTTTGAGGACGGTTCGGATCCGGGAGGTGGGTGAGATGAGATGTCTGCCGGTGATGCATGCCGCTGATCGCTGCAACCGCGGTTACAATTAGGTCCCGGGTTCCGCGGAGTGGTTTTCATCTGAGGGCGGGATCCGAGATGGTCTTGGTATTTTTTTTCCATTTTCATTCGTTCTGTTCTTGCGAGCAGAGCGGAGGAGCTGGGCAGCCTAGACGGCACCCTAACGTCGAGGTCTACATCTGGATCTAGTCCAATCCGATCCGGTCCGGTCCGATCCAACCCGGATCTAACTCAGGTCCCGCCTCATTTTCAATACAATGCCAAATACACTCCGATGTGGTATCAAATGAGATGCGCCAGACACGGCCAGCAGCCAGCGGCCAGCGACCACGATGCAAAACATGCAAGATGCAATATGCAATCCGCCCACCTCTCTGAATGACCAGCCCCTTTAATGACCCTCACTGATCGTGGTCGTCGGAAGCTCCTTCAACGCCTCGCCAATGATCTTGATGGCCCCACGGAGTTCCTCCTCGGTGATGACCAAAGGCGGTGCAAACCGGATGATGTTGCCGTGTGTAGGTTTAGCCTATCCCATAAGTCAGTGATTCCGCGTTCCAGACCCCCTTTGGGGAGGATAATAAGGGGTGGTACTCACCAAAACGCCCTTCTCCTTCAATAACAAGCACAGCTCCCACGCCGACCGCCCATCCGCCTTGCTCTCGTCAATGACAACCGCATTCAGCAACCCCTTGCCTCTGACAACCTGCACGAGGGGCGACTGGAAAGCCTCGACACTCTCTCGGAACACCCGCCCCAGACGCTCAGCCTTCTCCACGAGGCCCTCCTCTCGATTAGCTCGAGGGCGCGGATGGACACGGCGCAGCCGAGCGTTCCCGTCGTAGGTAGATCCTGGGTGCTGGTTTGTACGATTCTCATGACGGCGGCGTCGGCGAGCACGCAGCTGACAGGGTACATGCCGCCCGAGATGGCCTTGCCGAGAGTGACCATGTCGAGCTTGATGCCGGACCACTCGGAGCATAGCATGCGGCCGGTGCGCGCGATGCCCGTCTGGATCTCGTCGCACACCAGCAGCACGTTGTGCTTGCGGCAGAGCGTCTGCGCCCGCGCCAGGTAGTCGTCGTCCGGCACCACCACCCCCGCCTCGCCCTGGATCGGCTCCACGATGAAGGCCGCCGTATCGCGCCCGTACGCCTCCAGGACGGCTTCGAGGTCTGGTATGCTGTTGTACCGGATCGGCTGGCCCGTGGTCGGGTTGGTGGCGCCCACGTTGGGTAGGTAGGGGCCGTAGTTGTCGCGGGATTCGGGGTCGAGGGAGAGCGAGACGGCTGTCATCTGCAGCATGTGTTAGGTGGTGTTTTTGGTGTTGTGTGATTTGGGTAGGGCTGAGGGGGGGGATGGGTCGCTTACAGTCCGCCCGTGGAAGTTGTCACTCGCGCTAAAGACGAGCGCCTTGCCCGGCGCCACGCCCTTGACCTTGTAAGCCCACTTGCGGGCGATCTTGATAGCCGTCTCGACGGCCTCGGCGCCCGTGTTCATGGGCAGCACCATGTCGAAACCGAATAGCTGGCGGACCTTCTGGGCCCATACGGGGAACACATCGTTGTGGAACGCGCGCGAGCTCAGCGTCAGGCGGCCGGCCTGCTCGGTGAGGGCCTTGATCAGCTCCGGGTGGCAGTGGCCTTGGTTGACGGCGCTGTAGGCTGAGAGGAAGTCGAGGTAGTGTTTGCCCTCGGGGTCCCAGACGTGGACCCCTTGGGCGCGAGCGAAAACCACGGGGAGTGGGTGGTAGTTGTGGGCGGCGAACTCGTTCTCGGCAGCAATGGCGCTCT